AAGACGCAGCTGGAGCACATCCTGCTCCGGCCAGACACCTACATCGGCTCCGTGGAGCTGGTCACGCAGGTGCGGGGCGGGGGGCGGCGGGGCTGAGCCCCCCCGGCTCCTCGTGCTGGCGGGAGCTCGTTAACCAAAGCACAAACATCTGCTTTACAAGCTGATGGCACAGAAGGGGGTTGTAGCTGGGGATTTATGTAATTTTTTTTTGACTTCTTTTCAGCAAATGTGGGTTTTTGATGAGGACGTGGGCCTTAACTACAGAGATGTGACCTTTGTGCCTGGCTTATACAAAATCTTTGACGAGATTCTAGGTAAGGTGACCTGCGAGTCGATGACTGACAAGTTATTAATGTCTAAGAACCTGAAGCTAATTATGGGAACTTAACAAACGCCCTTTTATCTGGTTGCATTGCTGACCAAGTAACGTCTGTTGTGTTATTTGATGGATGGTGTTCACAGAGCACGTGGCTTGTTGATTGTGCTTGGATGTATCAGATACTGATGTCCTTCCATTAGCACTAATTAACAGTAACAGATTCCTGAGATGATGGCACACTCTATTACAAAACCAATTTCATTCAGCCCAGAATTCTCCTTTGTCAACTTGTAGTACTTGTCTTTGTAACTTGCCAGGTATTTGCATACCAAGGTGGTTATTAATAATACTGTATTGAATTTTTCACTCAAGCTACTGAAGACACTTCATAGTTAATAGTTTTGTCTAAATTGAGAGGGTAATATAATAACAATAATCATTCCATTCCAGTCAATGCTGCAGACAACAAGCAGAGGGATAAAAGCATGTCCTGCATTAAGGTGTCAATTGATGTGTAAGTTTTCTTTCATTTTTGTTCCCTGCTTTCCTGAGCCAAGTGTGTGTGATTTGCTCACTCGGGCTCTGCAACTTAGACCAGAAGTAATTCACCAGTTGTGAAGGCTTTTCTTTGAGTGGTCCCTTGGTCTGGTACAGAGTGCTGTGAAATGGCTGCTGTGGTGGCTTATTTTCATTTTAGCCACTTCCATCTTTTCTTCCTTTCCACCTTTTTATTCTGCCCTTGAGCACAGATAGAGGATTTTTACTTGTGCTGATGCATTTATCTGTAGATTTGAGCATTTTTTGTTGACTTGTCCTCCCTCTGCTGGCAGTTTCTGCACTTGCTGAACAGAGATTTGCTCTGGATGAAATGGTGGCCTTTCCCCACAGCTTTTGTGTAATATTTATTTCATAGCTCAGCCATCTGCAGCCTTAAAAACACACGTTTTGGGTGTTGTTTTTTTCCTCCCCCTAGAGAGAACAACACGATCATGGTATGGAACAATGGAAAAGGTATTCCAGTTGTTGAACACAAAGTGGAGAAGGTCTATGTACCTGCTCTTATCTTTGGACAGCTGCTAACATCCAGCAACTATGACGATAATGAAAAGAAAGTCACAGGTAGGGAAGGCTCTCAAATACACACTAATATTTCTGGGCAGCCTGTTTGGTTTAAATGTGTGAACTGAAGGAGGAGAAGGGATCCTTGATGCAAAGTGAAAATAGCATTTTGAGTCCATCAGAGAGAAGTCTCCATGCTCCATTTTCTAGTAATAAGGGTACAAACGTGGAGAGCAGGAAAATTCTTGAATGCTAATCCTCATTAATTATGGGTTGTTAGGATATTGTTTCTTATTGAGAGTTGTACTTAGATTTTGCTGAAGTGGCAGAACTCCTGTAAGCCTGGAATTCTTTTGGGTGACTTTGGACAAAGATAATAGCACAAGGCTGCTTTCCTTCTAATTCCAGGTGGGCGAAATGGTTATGGAGCCAAACTGTGCAACATCTTTAGCAAAAAATTTACTGTGGAAACTGCATGTCGTGAATACAAAAAGTTATTCAAGCAGGTATGAACACTTCTCATTTCAGGAAGGCTATTCCTGAGATTTTCAGGTATTTTCAGTTGGTTTTTTTTCTGTTCCACAATCCTGGGCATGACATGCATTCAGTGCACCATGACTACAGTAAATCTGGCCCACAGATACTGTGCCACCAAATATAATTCAAAGTAATAGTGAAATGAGCAGACAGAATCTGTTTTTTAACCAGTTTTGTGTTGTTGTTTGTTTTTTTTTTTAACTTTAAAAGTATTTAAAACTCATAAATCAGCTTATAGCTGTTAAAAACTAAGCTGGTTGCTCGTGTGTATTAGACTTGCAACTCACAAAATATCCCTTCCTTAGACCTGGACAGACAACATGGGAAAGGCTGGTGAAATGAAACTGGGATATTTTGATGGAGAAGATTACACGTGTGTCACATTCCAACCTGATCTGTCAAAATTCAAAATGGATATTCTTGATAAAGACATTGTAGCACTAATGTCTCGAAGAGTCTATGATATTGCTGGATCCACCAAGGATGTCAAAGTTTTCCTGAACGGACAGAGGCTGCCTGTAAGTGAGCACTGAAAAGAAACAGTAATATCTATATTTCTAGTGTAATTCTCCTGCCATTTAAATGGTGAGATTTTGTGGAAGCAAATTACATCCTCACAGTAAAAGGAAAAATTGCAGGAGTGATTTCTCCCACCTGCTTTTCAGGAGAATGTGAATGAAGTGTTTGTAGGAGCTGTTACAAATGAGCTGCCTGCTGTGATCTGTCTGCAGGTGAAGGGATTCCGCAGTTACGTGGACCTCTATCTGAAGGACAAAGTAGATGAAACTGGGAATCCTCTTAAGGTCATCCATGAGGAAGTAAATTCTCGCTGGGAAGTGTGTTTGACTCTAAGTGAAAAAGGCTTCCAGCAAGTTAGCTTTGTCAACAGCATTGCCACTACAAAGGTAACTCTTCTGTCAAGCTGATGCCGTATTCTTCATTGTTCATGTTCTTGGCTATTTTCAAATGTATGTGCACAAAAAACACTCAGTTGCTCAAGGCTGCAAATACTGTGCTGAAGGTTTTAAACAGATACATATCCTGTTATCTTTTCACTGGAGTCACGACCAGGTCTTTGGTCCCTTTCCCCATAGGGTGGCAGGCACGTTGATTATGTAGCTGACCAGCTGGTGGCTAAACTGATAGATGTGGTGAAGAAGAAGAACAAAAACGGAGTTGGAGTGAAGCCTTTTCAGGTACAATGTCTGAACTCCCCAGTGGGAAACACCTCTGGCACTACTGCAAATTGTAGCTACAGCTTAATGTCTTACTATGTTAATAATACGTATTTCCATTGTACAGGTAATAGATCTATAA